CCTTTCCTTGTTTATTAATAAAACACATGTCATTCATTGGCAAGAGGTGGTGGTAACTGTTCCGCCCAGTCTAGCTTAAGCAAAGTTCTTGCATGAATATCTTTGCCTTGCTAGGACCGAGTAGGCCTAAAGGATCATGTAATCTCGCTATTTGAGATAAAACATCTCTTTTCGTAACATTAGGCTTTTCATTAACAGTAACTTTATACGCAATGTATTTTTCTTATTATTCCACAACATACCTAACGTCTTCACAGTTGTATTACTATTACAATTAAATGAAAAATTCTGTAAATCAGAGTTTTGCGAATCAAAACTAGTACACCACTTGTGTAGCTTCATTCCTCCTCTTTGGAGCAATACTGTCAAATCTTTTTGGAGTTTAACGCATTCCTTCAAATTCGAAGATTCAGTAAGACAGTCGCCTACATAGAAATCTTCCAAGCCACTTTCGATGCTACAGGAAAATCCTTTTCTTCATCCTTCGCTAACTGTTGAAGAGTCCTTTGTGTCAAATATGGAGTGCATGCTGTGCCATAAGTTACCGTTTTGAGTCTGTATATTTCTATAGGAATATATAGACTTATCTTCATATTCCTTCCAAAGTATTTTTTGATATTTGATCTGCGATGGCAATATTTCAATTTGCCGAAACATCTTCTCAATATCGGCAGTAAATGCATAAATGTGTTTTCTAAACCGTATCATGATGGAAAATAGTTCCTCTTGAATTATTCCACCTTTACATAATATGTCGTTCAATGAACAACCGTTAGTAGTTTTGGCACTCGCGTCGAACACGACACGTAACTTTGTTGTTTTACTATCAGGTTTCAGCACGCCATGATGAGGAAGAAACTATCCTCCTTCAGTTTCAGAATAGTCTTCCATCTTTTCCATATGATTTTATGATTCATATTCCCTTAAAAATGAAACATAAAGTTCTATCATTACAGAATCACTTGACAAACTTTTCCACAATTGATTTAGTCTTTTTCAGCGATTTCCTTTGAATTCCCTAATTGTATGTTTTCACCAATGTCTGGCTTGAACGGCATTTTAACCACATATCTTCCATCCGCATGTCGGTAAAATGAGTTTTCAAAATGTTCATTGCAATAATTTAATTAAGAATTAACTGTAGATTTAGTTTCATTTACTTCTTCAACTTCCCAGAATGACTTTACTAAGTTATTTAACGAATTAATCTCTGTTGACAAAAATAAAAAATTTAAGTCATAATTTTTTACATGTGGAATTCTAATGTTTCCGGAAACTAAAATGCCGAAGCAGCTGTTTTGAAGAAGTAACTCATTATCTTCTAAACGTATTTTATCTGTTTTTAAAAATTCAAAAAATAATTACCACCTAATAATAAATCTACCTTTTTTGCCTTGAAAATTCATTATCAGCTAACTTTATTCCTTTCGGAATATTTAATTTCGAAATATCAATAGATTTCGACGGTGTCATGTCAGTTATTTTGGGAACAACTAATAACTCTATTTCCCATTCATTTTCTTTTTCTAAGTTCTGTTATATAGCTTACTTCACGGCACCATTGTTAAATAAGAAACTTCATATATGTTTCATGTTAAATAAGAAACTACTTGCCGTGAAAGGTTTCTACTTCCTCTTAGGGAGGAAACTAAACTCTTAAGAATTTGCTAATTACCAAACTTTTAGTGATCGTATAGTGAATTTTTAAAGCATTTGCGTTGTAAAAAATTGCATCCCGGGACCGCGCCGTGAGAGGATCGAAAACATAAGAAAAACATATACAAGATATATAGGAAAAACATATTAAATATATAAAGAAAACATACTGTAATAGGTTTCTAGATTAAATATCAGTTTATTCAATTTCATCACAATAAAATAAAATCTTATCCTCATCAGAGAGTCTAAGGAGAATTCTTTTATTTATCATTTACTTTTTTTTTATTTAAATTCATATAAAAAACCTTAAGGTTTGTCATTTTAATTTAAAAGGGGAAAGGGAAACAATTGAAGGCCTGAGAATTAATTTAAGATTCGACGTTGTTTTTAACTTACTTAAAGTTCAAACAAAAAAAAAAAAAAATAAAACTTATCTTGGGTGGACATTTTGAAGTGGAGGACTCGTATCCTAATAAGCGTTGACGTCGGCGGGGCTCATCTTTACGGTCACAAAATGGAAGTTTCAGAAGACATCGTCCTGTCCGGGGACTATTTGAGAAAACACACACGCAGGTAACTGGTTTTCAAAATGACGTAGCTATTTTTAAGTCTGGAAAACAGAAACAGGAGCACTGCTGCCCAGCACGGCTATCCGCTTGGTCTTGAAAGTCTTAAGTCAACACGCAGGTAACTGGTTTTCATAATGACGAAGATATTTTTAAGTCTGTAAAACAGAAACAGGAGCACTGCTGCCCAGCACGGCTATCCGCCTGGTCTTGAAAGTCTTAAGTCCCTCCCCCGGTTCAATTTCGCCTTTTTACCAGAACGCGGCAAGGGAGCATGTTTGCAGCTCCCGGCCAGAAACGTTTTTCTAGGCAATTACGGCTCGCCTGTTCTTGCTCATCCCAAGAGCAACCTTCACGAGTAACGTCCAAAGTAAGTTCCACAAGCCAGTCAGCCAGTCAGTAAGTGATTCCTACTCGAATTTTCTTCGTCTCCTTCACAAACGCGGGTTCCCACTATGGCTTCAATTATCGCCCCCTTTATTATGGCAAAATTTGCGTTTTCAACCCCTGAATGCGGAAATAAGGGTGATCGCGCATGCGCGCCCTTCTTCACTTAGCCAACAACCGGACCCTCAATTGCCAAAAACCTGAATGACTTACATTGAAAGACAAGTAGCAACCTTTGACCTTTTTGTCACGTACTTCCTCTCCTAAGGTCAACTACACAATGAAAATCCTTCTAGAACATTCTAAAGGACAAAGCGCGCGAAATCATGACTTGGCAAAAAATTGCTTCCCTTTCCCTGCTTCTTTCACAATGAATCAAAGCTTGTACAAAATTTGCAAATAAAAGAAAATAAATAATATTCTTTTAAACTAAATAATATTCCCAGAAGCATCTGTTTTTCCCCAAAATTAAAGCCTTAAAATAAATAATTCAGAATCAAATAAAATTAAAATTTCCATAAATCAGAAAATCATTCACCTAGTTTTTATACCGCTATCAGAGAAATTCTCTACACAACAGTTCAATAAACGCGTCCTTATTTGTGATTTAACATTCAAAGTAGTGTTGCCTATTCCACTAACTAGAATAAATGCTCATTCTTTTTTTATTCCTAATGAGTTCATAACACCAACAGTACAAAAATTAGAAGTCGAAGCTGAATCAAGCACGGCTCTAAAAGGAGTTCGGTCATCGTAAACATCGCGAAGATAAACATTCGCTGTATTTATTAAACAAATTTAGATTTATTTGCAGCTGCCATCAAAGTTGTGTGGGGGGAGAGGGGCAGACCTCTTTCCCATTCACTGACGAAAGGTTCAAGGTCAATTCTTTTTCTCTCGATGATTCATTTTGTTTTTCGTCAATTTTATGTAACAGCGAATGATGTGTGTCTGTCTTTCTTACAGACATAACAATTGAATTTAGCCTTACACTGCGATAATACGTGTGATGGAGAAAGAAAGGCATTTAATGCATAATTTATATTCCTTAACAAAATCATACCGCTCAGAAACAGAAATGCTTTTAAATTTCGAACAATGATAAATTGGGTGTGGTTCTTTACGCATAATACGCTTTCGAAAAGGGTTTGTTTCAGTTACCAAGGATTTTGAATTTCTAGAGCGACTTAATTGATTTGATACTTTAGTAGCATAGCTCTGCTTAGGAAAACTAACTTTGTTTTTTCTTCAAGAATGCGAATTCGTTCTTCGAGAAATTCTAAAAATTCATCAAGTTTGGGAATTTTATTTGTTTTACGTTTAGTTCAAATGCTTTTCTAGATTCTCAATCTAATTTATGCAATAAAATATTTAATATCAAACCATCAGATAAATTAGTTCTATCAAATTCTAATACACTTAAAGATCTCAGACATCTCTTAACATTATCTACCAGTGATCTCAACTGAGAAGGTGAGTCATTTATTTTTTCAAAGTTCAACAAATTATTAATAAAGCCATCAACTACTGCTCTTTTCTTTCCATATCTGCTTTCAAGTGCAAAAAATAGCGACTCAAATGTATCCTGACATGATTCTAACATTTTTGCTTCACCTTTAAGTGATGCTTTCAAATAAAACAATTTCTCAGTATCATTTAAATTATTATTATTACCAATCATAGACATAAATTGCACTTAAAAATTTTTAAAATCTTCATATTTACCATAAAATTGAGGAAGAGGTAAATCAGGCAGTTTAAAACGTGTAATCGAAACAGGTTTGGTTTCAAATTTATCTTTATTATTTGTTTCACGATTAGAAAGAAAAATTCCAAATCTTACTTCGAACTCTTCGATGCTTTCTTTCAATTCTTGTGCAATGCGTAGATTATCCTTCAAGTCAATTTCCTCTGGCAAATTGGTGTATTCCACTATGAGTTGCTTAAAACGAGATTTTTTCTTTTCCGGCTACAGAGACTAAACTGTTCCTGCCGAAGATAGCTCGAACTTATTTAATGATACTTAACTTCAGTAAGTGGACTGTAATATTAACAATAACAATTTATTTTAACAAAAACAACATTATTGAATACTAGCACACGCATGTGCTTATAGTTACCTATGTAACTTATCTAAGAGCGAGCAACCATATGCTCTTACATCAAGTCAGGAAAACATACATACTAATAAGGCAAAAACGAAATAACTTTGTGGTTACACTAAAGCCAAACTCCGCTTGGCGTAAAACAATGCTGCCAAGCAATACCCTTTCAGACACCGAACAAATGCCAAGAAAATATTCTTAAGCTGCTGTACTAGATAAAAGCATTTCAAAGCGTAGCTTATTTTTAGGTTCAAAATACTTTAAAGAATATTTTTACACGCAGGTACGACAGAGGGAATCCCAGAAGAAACTCCATGCGGCAAACGTAGTAAAGGTATCTTTTTTATTCATAATTTTTACAAAAAATTATCTCAGTTAAGTGTTTATACGATTTAAAAACTCTGTTAATTGTTTAAGATGTTATGCGATCTGGGACTATTATTCAGTTAGGCGTCATATATGAATCGATATGTATACATGTTATAATTTTAAAATGTGTAGACTAAAACATAGGAAATTTTAACAGCTTTCGATGTTGTGTAGAGGGTTGAGAAGACCATATTAGCTGAAGGTAGGGCCGAGGGGAAATGCATGATTATGTATTTAGCAGAACGGATCTTGAAGATTCACAATGTTTCTTAAGTATATCTGAATACAAGTTTCATTTTTATGTACGACGTCATCTTAAGCAGGTGATCGACAGGAGCATGGATGAAAAGCACTTTTAAGCAGAAAAGATTATGCGAAAAAGGGAACAGGGCCAATTATCACGGCAACGTCGTAACGACGTTGCAAACTGGTCGCGAGTCATATTGCAAAAACTTTGCAATATGTCGACTTTATGACGTCCACATGTACGCGAAGCTCCACTGTTTTTCAACCGTTGCAAGGACATCTTTATTAGATGTTTGCAGATGAGGTCTTTATTGAATAGACGTCGTTAATGCGTCCTCCTCAGGTTATATTTTGGTTGTGAAAGCACAGTATCACGACGTCTTAACGACGCCTAAACGTTCGCGGAATTCGACCTTTTTGCAATAGATGTGAAAACGTCGTTAATATGTCCTTGTATTACATAATGATTTATGCAGAAAATTAAGCTCAAAGATGAGTGTATTTTTCAATTTCTTTTAATTTTCTTTTTTTTTTTTTTTTTTTTTTTTTTTTTTTTGTGTGTGTTGTTTTTTTTCTAAAGTTTAAATATTTTATCATTTCCTGAAAACCACAAGATAATACAGTTTTTTTCTCTTTAGACTAAATATACATATGTAATAATAGCATTAAATACTTTGATTACTTTAAACTATATTTTTAAATTTTCCCTTTAGACTATCTATGCTTAATTAATAATAGCCTTAATTATTTTCATTACTTTAAACTATATTTCTTAAATAACTTAAATTTTAAGGTACGATTATTTAATATTTCTCCATTTTTTTTCCTTAAACTTTAGTATGTAGGTGAGAGTCATTATGAAAGTGGATATTATAAATATATAATAATAATAGTAGGTTTTAAGTAAATAAAACTCAATCAGAGGTAAATAAAAGTAAAGCTATATATGTGGGTAAAAAAAGAGCATTTCTGATTATAGCAGCATTATCACATTTAATTCTGTTAAATCTGAGAGACAATAAAAATTGCTCCGGGTATAATACATTAGGAAGCATAAGGTAACATAATCAGTATTTTACCTGAACTGAAGTATAAATTTTTTCGCGTTTCGTAGTAAAATATATAACCATTAACTTCGATATCTCCGAGATATGCAAATGAAAGACTATATAAAGTAATTAAAAAATGTGGTCAAAAACATTCTCTATACAAAAATATACCTAAACCTAATGGCAATAAAACCACTTCCCATATACATATCTAAAATGAAATAATAACCTAACAAACATCATGCATGACTGCACACTTTAAGAAAGTATATCAACTAGCAGTGTTTGAAAGTATAAATAGCAGAAGGGAAGGTAAGAGGACTAAAATTTCCAATCAATAAAAATTATTTGGTCTTTTTAAATAGTAAGCAATTAAAAGTGAAATAATTATGGATTTCATTATTTATTAATAATGCCGATGTTCCTTAACACCGTTTTTTTCGATCTTATATAAATGTATTTACTTAGTGTTAGGTTTACACAATTTTAAATAGTGGTAGATTACAATGATTAATTTCATGCACTTTTAGTAATCACTAACTTTTTTTTTGATACTGTACAGAAATAATGTAGTATACGATAGTCAGCTAACTACTTTAAACTAAGCTGTTCGTTAAATAGCACAGGATTAAAATAAATTGCACAGGTTGTCTAGATTTGTTACGAATTTCTTTATCACAAGCACATGAAATGTAACCGAAGAAAATAGAATATACTTAAATTTAATAAATGAACAAAATCTAATTTCCAACATGCATTTATTGAAATAATCTAATAGACATACATAACAGCAATATATAAAAAATTAAACAGTGTTTGGAACAATATATACCAAATGACAAGTAATAAACCTGCATGTTTGCAAACAATAAAAAATGTTAAATGTTTTAATATTACACAATTAAATATCAGATAATTATAGATTACAATATTTCATACTAATGCTAATATTTCCTTTAAAATACGTTTTTCGATCATATGCGGAAAATCTGAGGTTCAACCTGTCACTACCAACACACTAATCGATTAATGTGAATGAAATAAGTTATAACACTTAGGACGTTATACGCGAATCCGTGTATAAAAATATAACGTTAATCCGCGCATCCAAGTATTGCACCGCTGGAACCAATTAATATTGGAGAACATCTCCACAAAATTTTAATCACCAGAAACACATAAAATACCAAAACAGAATACTACACTCATTTACAAAAGTTAAGCACGGAGAGGAAAATGCTAATTTCCGGAAGCCAATCAGAATTGAAAAGGATGCAATACGCTACAGTTGCAGATAGAAGTATCCAAATGTGTTAGGTAACAGCCAATCGCGCTTTCATGTCAAGAAATATGCAAAAAAGGCAGTCTTATAAGAAGTCAGGTTTATGAAGGGTTCAGAAGGTGATTATAAGTGCTTATAGAAGGTGTTTAAATCTTTCATACAATTTGTTTCCAAGACATACGTATTTCTATTATTTCTGAAAGAAGAATGGAAGATTTTGATCGCTCGCGTGCTGTGGGGCGCTTTGAACCAGGACAGTCAATCACACATGTTGCTCTTTTCTTTTGCCTTCCTCATTCTGTAATTTCACGTTTAGGGAAACAAATCCTAACCACACATACAGTTGTCTGAAGGCCTATAGCTGGTCGCCCAAGGGTTACAACTCCCGCGGAAGATCGCTATATTGCTATTGTAACCAAGCGGAATCGCAGAGCGATCTCCACACGTGTGACATCTATGGTTACAGCCTCCATATGTAAGGCGATATCTGCAGCTACCGTACGCAGAAGATTACATATCAGTGGACTTTACCGCGACTTACTTCAAGTTTGTGTTCCTCTATTCGTCCAATCAAGAAGGGCACGATTACAGTAGTGCCGGAAACATGTAAATTGGAATATATCTGTCTGCGGCAATGTTATGTTTGCTGATGAGTCAAAATTTGGAGCCAGAGGACAAGCGTATAAGGATATGGCATGAACAACAAACACGCAATCAGTCCCAAAACATCACCGAAAATGACGTATTCCGAGGCGGAATCAGGTGTGGGCAGAGATTTCATTAGGATACCGCATCGACCAGCACATCTTTAAACGGATTCCTTTTACGGCTATCCGGTATCGAGATGAAGTCCTAAAACACATTGTGAGGTTTTACGCTGCTGCAGGTTTTCCTACGTTTGTTTTAATACACGTCCCAATAGAGCTGACATTGTCGATGACTACCTGGAGAATAAAGGGATTGCGCGTATGTCGTGGCCAGCATATTCGCCCGACCTTAATCCCACTGAAAATCATTTGGTTGCTCTCGGCCGTGCTGTATCTTCACGTTTCCCACCTCCAGCCACTCTTATTGAGGTGGAAAGTGCTTTAAAAGAAGAATGTCGATTACCTAATTCTGCGGCGGTTGACACATAATTGAGAGCATGGTCACAAGGTGTAATCTTTGTATACAGAGCTGAGGGGGGATCACATACCCTATAAATGTCCTTTTTTTCATTTTATGCTGTTTATTTTCACTTCATACATAAATCTGTTTACATCTGCAGTATGCCATTATCGAATAACTTACAAAAATTTTATATTATTTTCATTTCTGTTTATATTAATGCATAAATAAAAGTGCTACTTTCCTGCCTAAACTTGTGTCAATCAAAGCAGTATTTGTTGACTTTTTTGCATTTTACTTCTTCGGGCTTAACTTTTGGAAGTGAGTGTATTTCACTGTATGGAGGACTGCAGCTGGTGTCGTCTTTTAAAGGAGATATTCACAAACAACATAAGCCTATATTCGACATTACCACGATAATTTCTCCTCAATTCAAAACAGTGTGACATTATGATACTGATGCATAATAAACATTTTTAATTAACATTTAATACATCTTTCTCCTTCTCCATTGAAGCTCTCCAGGATTTAATTCCCACGATGAATTAGAAAACCGTGAAGAAAATATTCTTGAAAATAAGATAGTGTCTGAAATTATTCTGCAGTTAAAAAATGGTTCAAATTTGGCAGCTAGCCAAAGCGAGCAAGCCTCGAGCTCAGATGCTTGTTTAATAATCATCCAGTGAACAATATACATGAATGTGAATCGGTAGAACAGCAACTAATTGTAATTTTTCAGCGAATTTTACGAATACATTAAAACTTTCGACAGTTCTTCTGATAATTTAACGTCAGTCATAAGTTAAGTAGTTTGAAAAGCTGAAAACCATAGCTTTCTGATATGGAAATTAAAGTGAACGTAAAGATCTAGATCCTGACATTTTATCCGTTTGTTATTAGAGTCCACGTCGTGAATGTGGTATTAGATTACATTATTTGAAGACGAATCTCAAATTATGCCTATTAAAATAACATTTTTAACCATTTTGGCTCTATCTACAATTTCAAACTACTTATAATGTTTAGGAATTTCTAAAAATATTAGCTTCTATACGAATGTTTAAAATCAGATCAAATTTTAGAACTATTTATTATGATGAATGTTCAGTAGAAAGAATTGAGTGAGTGAACCGCTATGATGGCTTCCGACCAAGGACATGAACCAAACGGAATTATATACCATCACTTCGAGGAAGACTCCAGAGTAACAAGGTTGAATATTATATACTAATAACAGTTTTTACATATTGTTAACTGCAAGGCACTAAGCGTTGTTCTGGTTATCTGCTTTAAGTTCTGAACTTTTGAAACATTATAATATTATCCACGGTTGTTTCTGCTTAGGCAGTGTTCTGAGATTTTCTCTATTTTATCAAGGGCTATTCTGTTTTTGAGTGTGTTTGTCGTCCACATTGCCCAGGCACAGTTCGCTGGTTTCTTCAAGTGCCAGGTTCTTGTATGTACACAATGGAAGTAATAATGGTCCGTGTCGCCTTCCTCTCCGCATTCGCAGAAAGGAGTATCCCTAAGTCTGAATCTGTTCAGGTATACTGGGAATGGTCCATGACCTGTCAGGAACTGTGTTAGGCTAGTAGGAACTGTGTTAGGCTAGTCAAGAACTGTGTTAGGCTAGTGTTAGGAACTGTTCTTTAATTCCATGTTAACTTTTGGCAGTAAGAGAAATGTCCTTCGTCCTACCTGTGCCTCTGTCCATCTACTTTGCCAATTTTGTAGCAGACTTGTCAAAGTTGTTCGCTTAATATGAGACCAAGGAAGTTTAGTTGGTCTTTCTAATATATCCGTGCAGTTGGCTGCCTGCTTGACCAGTAGGTCAGCGGCTTCATTGCCTTGAATCCCTGTGTGAGCGGGAACTCATTTTAAAGTGGGTCTTTGCGAAATAGGAGTTGTCAGAAGCTGTTTCTGAATTATGTATACCAATGGACTCCGGCTGTTTTGACTTGCGATAGCCGCCAGACTTGATGCCGAATCACTGAATATGGAGAATTTCTCCTGTTGACATGTGTTCGCATATCTAATTGCAGCACTGATAGCTAGAAGCTCTGCTTGGTATACCGAGTTATTCGAGCCTAATTTCCTTTTCCACTCGAATGTTACAACTCCATTTTCTAGTCTACAGAAGGCGCTGCCCGTTCCGTTCTCAGTTTTGGAGCCATCTGTGAAAAGGTTATTACTGTACCTCTGAATTGGTTGGTCGCTTATACAGATACCGTCAGAGAGATTAAGAGCTGCTGGATGAAAGTTATTGCAGTTGTTTTGCTCCTCCGAGTGATAACTATGACCCCAGAGTGTGGTGATAATTATGACCCCAGAGTGTTGAAGTTTGACACAGCCTGGTAACCCTTACGATATCTGCCTCCCTTTCTACTATCAAATCTAGGGGAGGAATTCCTGCCAGTTGTTGTAGGGCTAGTGTTGACGTGGTACGGTAGGCCCTGCATACTTGAAAGTAGCTGCTGTCTCTGAATAGAGAGCAGGGATCTTTTTCATATGAGAGGTAAGTTCGCCACCCCAGATTGCTGCTTCCATAAGTTATTACTCTTTCTGTAATGGTTCTATGCCAAATTTTTAGTAGCTTATAAGATGAGATACCCCATTTATGTGAAGTCATGCGTCTCATGTTGTTGCTTAGAATGCTAATTCGAGTCTTAAGATTCCTGACATGTGGAATCCAAGAAAGTCTGTTGTCGAGTAATAGCCCAAGATATTTCAATTGGGGGAAACATTTTACAGGTATCCCATAATTAGCTTATTTAATTTGAATATGGTTTTGCTCTCATAAGTAAGAAAATATTAGTTATTTAATACCAAAAACGTAGCCTTAGGCTGCCAATAGCCGAAACCATTTCCTACAGTAATTTATTTTTAGTTTGAAAATAAGTTTTAATAAATATTTTTTCATGCAGGTACGACAGATGGAACCCCAGAAGAAACTCCATGCGGCGAAGGTAGTGAAGGTATATATTTTATTCATAGTTATTACAAATAATTATCTCTGTTAAGTTTTATACGAATGTAAAACACTGTTATTAAGTTGTAAATCAGTCTGGGACTATATCTTGAATTACATTTAGGCGTCATATGTAAATCGTATATATATACATGAAATAATTTTAAAATGCGTAGACTAAAACATAGGAACATTTTAACAGCTTTAGATTTTGCGCAGATGGTTCAGAAAACCATATTGGCTGAAGGTAGGGCTGAGGGGAAATGCGTGATCATATATTCAGTACAACGGATTCGAAGATTCACAATATTTCCTAATTATATTTGAATACAAGTTTCCTTTTAATGTACTGTGTCATCTTAAGCAAGTGCTCGGCAGCACCATGGATTAAAAGGATCTTGGCAGCAGGAGAGCTTAAGTGAAAAAGAGAAGAGTCCCAAGGGTCACAGCAACGTCTTAACGAATTTGCAAACTGGTGGCGATTCATGTTGCAAAATCTTTGCAATATGTCGTCATTTAGACGCCCAGCTGTCCGCAAAATTCCACTATTTTGCAACAGTTGCAAAGACGTTTGTTTTAAGTCTTTGCAGATGAGGTTTATGGTCAATACACTTCGTTATTGCGTCTGTCTCAGGTTATAATTTGTTTGTGAAAGCATCGGATCACGACGAATCCACGACGCCTAAATGTTCGCGGAATTCGACATTTTTGTTACAGTTGTGGAAACGTCTTTATTATGTCCTTGTGTTACATAATGATTTATGCAAGAATATAAGCTTACAAATTAATATACTTTCCTTCATTTTTTTTTTTTTTGTTTTTTTTGTTTTTGTATTCTTAGTATTTTTCTAAAGTTTAAAAATTTTATCATTTCCTTAAAACCAGAAGATAATACAATTTTTTCTGTTTAGACTAAATATATATAATTAATGGTAGCTTTAATTACATTCAGTACTATATATTTATAAAATTTCTCTTTAGACTAACTATGCATAATTCAGAACAGCTTTAATTATTTATTTATAATTCGCACAACTAAATGGTATAAAGCGTATTATATACAGTAGCCTGTTAGTGCGAACACTTCCAATGGTTTAGAGAACACTGGAACCCACACCATAGCTGACGCTGACCTTCACCGAGAATTGCTTCAATGTGTAACTGAATTATGCCCGACAGTAGCTATATATAGATTTATGGATATGCATTTCTTGCAGTAGCATCAAGGAAAGCGATGTTTCAAAAGGATTTATACGGCTTGTATTCCGAGGAGGCATTACTATGGTAGGGACGGAGCTCCACATTTTCAAAAGAGGTTAATTTGGCATAAGTTGTTGTTTCCTCCACAATGTACATTTTTCATCGCGAAGCCTTTCGAGTTGACTTTCTTTTTATGGCTGTCAAAGCATCGTTACGTATAACTCATGCTGCCAAACAGGCCTTGGGAATTGCAGGTATGTGCAGAATGAATTAGCCAAAATGCACGCCTAACATAAATCTGTTTGAACATTCGTTGAATACTTAAAGAGAGATGCCTGTTGGCATGATCTTAGTCTCCCGACATCTGACCGGAGCAACTGGAAGAGATGGTTGGTTGAAAATCGAAAATGTTACCCCAAGAACGATTAGATAATTTAGTAGTTAGTATCGAAAGACAGTGCAAAGAATTCATTGCAGTTAAAGAGTAGCCATTTCCCTAAATTAAGCTGTTTGGTTTTTCGTTCATTCAGGCAAGGTGTCAATAAAGCATGTTTATATTCGTTCTGCATTGTAGCCTTCGGATTAAGTTTTACATTTGTATAATTACGTCGTTCTTTGTAATATATTATGCCGCTGTAGGGTGAATTTCATGTCACGCATTTGATTAAATCCGGACAAAGTAAGTAAAATGACTTACTCTGTGAACACTAATGTAGATAAAAATAAGAAATATTATTCTCATGTAATTTTATCTGATTTAAAATGGTGTGCCATATGACGTTTCCTTAGTTCTGGCATGCAGTGAAAAGGAAATGAATTTCAGTTGAAAGTTTTCGACTAAAACCGCATTTACGAAATGGTAAATATATCAATAAAAATTTAAGTAAAAGTTATTTAGCAGTACTAAATATGTTACAGTTAGCTACAATACATGTTTATATATTTTGCCAATGCATGCTTATATATTTTGACACTTTCTGAATTCTTTCAAACATTGCCGCATTTTTAAACGTTATTTTTATAAAATATCGCAGTGAACCCAAAGTAATGTTAACCTCATGTTAAGCAATTTGTATAGCTAAAAACCACCCCTTACGGACACGGAAATTAAACTGAACGAAATCATCGAGATTCTAACATTTAATGCTTGTCGTATTACAGACCACGTCATTAATGTAGATTAGGTTATTTGAAGAAGAATCTTAAATTCTGCCTATAAAAATAACACTATTAAGGTTTGGGCTCAATTTACTATTTCAAACTATTTATATTTTAGGAATTTCTGAAAATATTTGCACCTATACGGATGTTTTAAATCATATTTAATTTGAGAACTAACTGTTTAACATAATGAATGTTCAGTAGAAAGAGTTGAATTAGCTTCTTTTGTTATTTAATTTGAATAATCTTTTCCTCTCATGAGTAAAAAAATATTAGTTATTTAATACCAAAAGCATTGCTTTAGGCTGCCATTAGCTAAAGCATTTTCTACATTAACCTTGTTTTTTCAGGTTGAAAGTACATTTGAAATAAATATTTCTGCACGCAGGTAGGCCATGTGAATCTACGATGAAACTACATGCGATAAAGTCAATAAAAGTATCTATTTTATTCATAATTATTACAAATAATTATCTAGTATAAGTTCCCACCAGCGGCCAAGCAGAAAAGTCGCTGAACACTGGTAGTTCGGTCCGAGGTTCGAATCCCGAGAATGGGCTGGCTGCATGGGTTTTTTCATGGTTTTTCCCATGTGTAACGTGTATACGAGCCAGTTTCCCTTAGAAAGTCCTTGACGAAGGCATTCTTCCTCTTAGGCAGATAGCCCTCGATGCTTTGCATAATCACACACACACACACATCTAGTTTAAATCTTATGATAAGAAGGAACACTCTGGTATTTTCTAAATTGGTAATCGCATCAGGTGGTCTTATCGCATTTAGGCGTCATATATGAATGAATTGTCCTAAAAAATAGCTTCGTAGAAAAAATATACAACAGTGAAAGAGCATTAATGTTAAACTTGCGTTAATCAATCCGAAAAGGAGAAACCAATCCTTACTGATATGGAAATTTAAATAAGTGGAAACATCGAGATTCTGACATTTAATCCCTTTTTTATTAGATTAAGTCCTGGATATAGCATTAGATTATATTATTTGACGCCTAATCTGAACTTCTGCATATTATATTAATATATTTATGTATTTGCGTTCTATTTACAATTTCAAAATACTTATAATTTTTAGGAATTTTGAACTTATTTGGTCCTGTTTCCATTTTAAAATCAGATCAAATTTCAGAATGAACATTGGGATATGATGAATGTAAAGTTTGAAGAGTTGAATAGGCTTCATGTTTATAATTTAATTTAAATTCCCTTTAGCTTTCATAAAAAAGAAAATATTAGTTATTTTAATGCCAAGAAAATGTCTTTAGGCTGCTGTACTAGCTGAAAACATTTCAAAGTACAGTTTATTTTTAAGTTGGAAATATATTTAAAAATTATTTCTGCACGCAGGTACGACAGATGGTATCCCAGAAGACACCACATGCGACATATGCAATAAAGGTATATATTTTATCGATAATTTTTTTAATTATTTATCTCATCTTATGATGGGAATGAAAAACATTGTTATCTGTTTAAGTGCTAACACAATTTAGGAGTATTATTGCATTTAGGCGTCTTAGTGAACCGATATATGTACATGTAATAATATTAAAATGCGTAGACTAAAACACAGGAACTTTTAAACACCTTTTGATTTTGCCTAGATGGCTGAGAACACCGTAGTGGCTGAAGATAAAGCTAAACTTTTCGTTTATTTTATTTCATTCAAAGACGAATCTAAAATTCCGCGTATTATATTAACATACTGAAGGATTTGGTCTCTATTTACAATTTCAATCTACTTATAAATTTTAGGAATTTCTGAAAATATATGCACCTGTATGGAGGTTTAAAATCAGATCAAATTTGATAACGAGCTATGGAATATGATAAAGGTACAGTAGAAAGAGTTGAATAGGCTTTTTTTATAATTTAATTTGAATTCCATTTAGCTTTCATAAGGGAGAAAATATTAGTTATTTAGAACCAAGGATGTTGCTTTAGGCTGCTGTACTAGCTGAAAGCATTTCCTAGCATAGTTTATTTTTAAGTTGAAAATACATTTGAAATAAATATTTTTGCACGGAGGTAAGCCAAATGAATCCACAGAAGAACCTCCATGTGATGAGGTGTCCACCGAAATCATTGCGGCATAAACATCGCGGACGAAAACGTCGCGGAGAAAACAACACAAGAAGAAAATGTCGTTATACAAAACATCGTGGGAGAAAACATCGTTGTTCTAAAACATCGAGGCTCAAAATATCGTGGTCGAAAATAAATCGGTTCAAAAACTTCGCAGTTTAAAAATATCGTCATCAAAATTTACGTGGTAAAAATGAAATACCTACAAATTATTGCATGACGATAACATCGCACACATGCGTTTTCAAGTTTTGAAAGTTGTAAATGCATGTTCGTATAAAGATCATAGAGCGCAAGAACGAAGGAGGGATTCTTTTACTTCTATATTTCATGAACGAACTAATAAATTTTTTTAAATAAGTTGGAAATTTAAGCATTTAAAAATTGCAAATGAATAGAAAATTAATGGACCTAAAAAGTTTAATTTAATTTTTAATTTATGAAGTTAATTTAAAATGGTCATTCATAAATTAAATATTTTTTCATTAACAAATTAAGCTTTTTTTCATTAAAAAATTAAGCTTTTTTATAAAGTTTCAGTGATAATTTTTCATAAAAAATACAGTCTTAACGTGCTTAGAAAAAGGAAGATAAATATCTGCATGAGGTTACGTCTATAAAAACTGCATAGTTGATCAAATTATTTTCTTTCACATTTATTAATCTTATATTGTTTGAATGAAATTATATATTGCTTTGCTTCCATTTACTCCTAAAATGGCGTTAACATTATCATGTATATCGTGCAATCAATTTTTTGGATGTCGATTTGTTAGTTATGAGGAAAGTCAATTACATAATATGTCAATATGCAATTTGAAAAACGCATGTATACGATGCTATCGTCATGCGATGATTTGTAGGTACTTTATATTTTACCACGATATTTTCAACGACGATATTTTTAAACTGCTTTATTTTCGACCACGATATTTTATATAACGAAACTATTTTAGAACTGCGATATTTTCTCTTTGCGATGTTTTCTCCCACGATGTTTCGTACCACGACGTTTTCTTCTTGAGTTGTATTCTCCGCAGGAGTTTACGTCCGCGATGTTTTTGCCGCCATGTTTTCGGCTGTAACTATGCGATGAAGGTATTTAATGTATTCATAATTATTACAAATAATTATCTAGTTTACGTCTTGTGACAGGAAGGAAAAACAATAGTATTTTCTAAAGTGGTAATGGCATCAGGGATTATTATTTCATTCAGGTTTCATATATGAACCAATATATATACATAAGTTTCCATTTTTGCTTTTAAGATAGATACATACTTATTTAGATAGTTAGATACATACTTATTTAGATAGTTAGATACATACTTATTTAGATTCCTAAAAAGTAGGTTCTAAGAAAAATGTGCTCATTTATTTTGGATTTCACAGTTTTAGTTCTCTTGTGAGAAAATATTTTTTTCCAATGGAACCAGTTGTTTTAAATATACAGGATACAACAGGTCTCAATACAGTCGTTAGAAGACAATGTTAAATAATTTGTAAGATTCTCTACTGTGTACTTAAAAGCTACAGTTGAGGGTGAAGAATCTTAAGAACTGCTAAGTGAATAATAGCTTGAGTTCCTGAGACAGTAACCAAAATTTGAAAAGGTTTAAAGATCCTATATTATTCAAAGAAGTTTTAACAGAACTCCCTCTTGGAGTTATAAAGCCGACACTCGGTCTTGAAATTAAGAAACTAAGAACTAAACCAAACTAATCTTAACTAAAAAGATATAGCCGAAGCTATCAAAAGTCTAACAGAGTTGGCCCCTTAACGCTGAACTGCGAAGCTATGAAGGGCCGAAAGTACGGCTGAGCGTAATAATAGCTTAAGAGAAAGTAGCCTAAAAAGGCGAACGCGTGCTAGCCAGAATCTTTCGTTCTCTCTGACTAAGACAATAGAACTTCGTGTTTAAATACCGCTCTTTCTCGATTTGCAATGACACGGGATTCGAAAACTACGTTCTGGGCGGAAGTTGTAAGTTAAAATTGACAAATGATAGGAAAGGAAGTTTAACTCAATTTAGCTGTTAGATAAATTAATATAATCCTTCCAAATTTTTATCCATACAATTATTGAAACTATTGAGAATTGAAGAACTTTTGCCGCGGTTGGTATACACATAATAGAAGTATAAATTTTATTTTAGGTAAGTTTATTAATCTGGCAAGTGAAATTTTTCTCGTGTTAAAGTTTTGTTTGTAAGAAGTTCGTTTCTGATTTCGCTAAATATTTTATGTGCTTTCGAAAATTCATCATTTGTGAAATTCTGATCTCGTCAATATTACGTAATGTTAGGAAAATTTAATTCTTTTATTATTATCTTATTCTTTTATTTTAATTACTTAATGCTAGGAAAATTCATTCTAATTAAGACCTGCGTGATACCAATGCAACACTTATACTTCGCAATGATTCCCCAAACTCTCGAAGAAAATTTTATTTTTCAATATCTTTTTCTAGCACAGCAAAGGAGACAAGTGTTTAGGTTACACTAGAAAATAAGACAGTGCGAATACCAAAGAGATTTACTAGTTATGACGTCGTATGTTCGTAATTATCAGCTTATGACTACAAAATTAAATCAATTTAAATATCCGTTTCTTCATTCCGTATCACAGCAGAATCTTTCTTGAACTGAGCGTATTTTCGAATACATTCAGGTACATCAGATTCCAATATTTAAAAGTATACAGTATCCCACCAGCGGCGTTTTGATAGGAATAATATACATTATAAATATTCGAAACTAATATAACTGTATGTTAGCAAACAAAGCGTTCCTTTGCGTTCTGTATACATATCTTTTTGCGCCAATGCATTCTTCATCTTTTAAATGCAAATAATTTCTCTGTAGTATAAATTTCTTGTTTGTAAGCAGATATTTTAAATTTAACACCAAAATGTGGAAACTGGATCGTTCTGCACGCTACTGTACGTAACCTAAAAATGAAAGTTTCCTTATGCAGGTTTATTTGTTGTGAATGTATAAATTCGCATCAAATTGTTTTTCGCGGGTGGGGTGCATTCTTGAAAGAGAAAACGATTTTTGAGTTAAACATTTCGCGGAAAGCTCATTTGCTCTGGATATATTTTCTTTTAAGAAATGCTGACTATATATTTCAATTTAATTACACGTAATAGACATTTTTCAGTTCTAACAGTTCATATTTTATATAGTATACGTCAGGGCATGCAGAACGCGAGGAGTCAGATCTAGCAGTGGAAAGGAGCTTTGAAAGAAGAAGGCAATATGCTTTTCTAGAAATTCTTCTCCAAGTAAAAGTGAGATTTCGTCTGAATATGACTACGACTAATCATCAGAACAAATATGGACGTCGTAGAATGATTTGCTTCAGGTTTGAAGAATGCTAACCCAGTAGATGTGGTTGTCTCCCGAATGTGTGAAATAGATAAATATTTAAATTATCGAATTTGGAAGACCTTCTAAATGGTAGCTACAGCTGAAAGAATGCTGGTTGGTGTTTCGTAATGGAAACCAATCCACATATCGCCATGCAAACTGATGAAATATGTTTTCCATGAGGGCGAATAGCTATCGAAATTGCAAAACGTACCATTCAGGTCATCAGTTGCGAGGGCAATAGGGCAACAGTTGTCCGGGACTACTGTTGCCGGACACCTTATATCTAATGTACGTTTGCTCACCGAGAATGTTATAGAGCGCAATCCTACATACCATTTACAGAAGCGCATCTGTGCCAAAACTTCCGATGGTGCAGAGTACACAAGGACGGGATACCTCATCATAGCTGATGCGTAATCTTTACAACTTTCTCAATATGTAATTGGATTCTGTCCTATTGGTTGCTATAGATAGAGATGTGTATACGCATTTCTTCCAACAATGTCAGGGAAGCAGATCTTACAAAAGGGTCCGGAGGGCTCTTATACGGGGATATTACCATTATGGTTGGATAGAGCATCATATCTATTTGAACATGTTTTGAATACTTAAAGGGCGATACCTGGCAGCATGATGTTAGTCTCCGAACATCTTACCCGAGCCACTGGAAGAGATACGTCTTGGAAAATTGAAAATTTAACCCCTAGAACGGTTATTTGATTTGGTAGTCAGTATCGAGAGATGGTGCAAACAATTCATTGCAGTTAAGGGAACCCATTTCCCTAACTAAATCGTGTTAGTTTCAGTTATTTCAGACAGTGTAGGCATTGTATTAATTTTTTTGGGTTTGTATAGTTTTATCATTTTAGGTACTACATTGTACCGTTGTAGTGTGAATTTCATGTTTCTTAATTGCGTGCTGAAATACCGCCAAAATAGGAAAAATGGCTTACGCTCTGCAAACGAGTTTAGATAATGATAAGAAATATTCTTCTTATGCAAACTTATCTCTTTTGCAAAGGTAATATTTCTTTATTTCTGGTAAGCAATGAAAAGGAAACGATTTTCATTTGAAACATTTCGACAAACACAGCACTTACGAAATTGTTTATATATCAACAGAATTTTAAATAAAAGATATTTAGCAGTACTTACAATGATGTTTATATATTTTGCCCCTCGTTGCATTCGTTTGCCGCATTTTAAGCATATTTTCATTTAATTATAACAATGAAACTACATTAATGTTGAACTTATGTTTAGCAATTAGAAAAGTTTTAACCACTCCTTACTGATATACGGAAAAATTTAATAAGTGAAAATGTCGAGATTCTGACAATAAATACTTCTCTTTCCTGAATATCCTATTAGATTATATTATTTCAAGACGAATCTCATTTTCTGCGTGTCATATTAACATATTTAAGAATTTGGGCTCTATTTACAATTTCAGACTACTTATAAATTTTAGGAATATCTGAACTTATTTGGTCCTATATGGAAGTTTAAAATCAGATCAAATTTGAAAACGAACTGTGGAATATGATAAACCTACAGTAGAGAGAGTTGAATAGGCTACGTTTTTATAATTTAATTTGAATTCCCTGTAGCATTCATAAGGAAGAAAATATTAGGTATTTAACACCCAGAATGTTGCTTTAGTCTGCTGTACTGGCTGAAAGCATTTATTAGGGTAGTTTATTTTTACGTTGAAAGTATATCTGAAATATTTTTTCTTGCAGATAAGACAGATGAATCCACAGAAGAACCTCCATGCTTTGAAGGTATATAGCATGTTATTCATAATTATTACAAGTAATTACCTATTTTACGTAGTATGATAGGAATGAAAAACACTGGTATTTTCTTAACTAGTAATGGTGTTAAGGACTATTACTTGATTTAGATGTCATATAAGAATCGACGTATTATTAGGGTAGTTTATTTTTACGTTGAAAATATATTTGAAATAAATATTTTTCTTTGCAGATAAAACAGATGAATCCACAGAAGAACCTCCAAGCATTGAAGGTATATATGTTATTCATAATTATTACAAATAATTACATATTTTACGTATTATGATAGGAATGATAGACACTGGTATTTTCTTGACTGGTAATGCCGTTAAAGACTATTAATGCATTTAGATGTCTAAATATTTGCTGTTAAGAAGAGACTTTAGATATATACTTATTTAGTGTCCTAAATTGTAGGTTTGAAGAAAATGCGCTCATTTATCTTTGACTTCACAATGTTAGCTCTCTTCTGAGAAAATAATTTTTCCAATTGAGCCAGTTATTTTAAATATTTAGGAGACAACAAGTCTTAACCCTCTCACTGCTCAATTTGTGGACCGAAATCGCTTTAAAAACTGTGCAAATTTTTTGCATATTTTAAATATTCATATATTGGAGAATTGAAAAATGAATTTTTTTTCTCTATAGAAAATGTTTTTTTATATAGATTTTTATCATGAGAAACTAAGTTAACAGAAAAAAAAAAAAATTCAGATGTTATCACCAAAAAAATTTTTAAAATAAATTTCAGTCGACTTACATTCCATTTCTATTGCATAATATAAAAAAGTAAAATATATAACATTTAAGAAAATATAAAGAACTGAGGGGGAAATAATTTAGAAATGCAGTTTAGTATGATAGAGTTCAAAACAGGGTTCAAGGCAAAGTCCAACTTCACAGTCTTTGCACCAGATTCAATAAATCTAATTAATAATCAATATAATTATAAATCTAATCAATAAATCTAATTAATAATTCAATAATTTATTTAAGTAATCAACATAATCCCTGAATGTTTTCCAGCAGCCATTTCTGTAAGAAACAAACGCAAACACTGAAGTTTGAGCGGTTATACCAGTGCCTTCAAATGCCGCAATTTAGTGGACAACTAACAATATCTGTTGGCCAAAACATAAACTAAACGTCTACTCTATTTAATTTATACTCTATTTAATTTATTTCAGTGGTTAAACGGGATATGCTCCTCAATAAAGAAAGAAAAACATATGCCCGCGAAAATCGAGGGATGAGCAGCCAGAGTAACCCTCTGGTTAATACATTCATTAGAAGGCAATGTTAAAAAGAATTGTTTTCAAAAGAATTAGCGAAACTATTGGGAATTGAAGGAATTTTGCCGAGGTTGGTATATACATAATAGAAATATGAAATTTATTTTAGGTAAGATTATTTATGTTGCAAGCGAAACGTTCCTCGTTTTAATTTTTGTTTGTAAGAAGTTCGCTTCCGATTACGCTAACATTTTTATGTTCTCTGGATATTTAATCTTTTGCGAAATGCTGATAACGTCACTATTACTTAATGTTAGGGAAATTCAATTCTGCAAGCAATAGACTTGGTGTGGTACAAATGCAAACTTATACTTCGCGCTGGTTGCACAAGCTCTCGAAGAAAATTTTGGATTTCGATATCTTTCTCTATCACAGCAAAGGAGACAAGTGATTAGGCCATCTTAGAAAATAAGACACTGGAAACCCCAACTAAATTTACCAATTATATCTTCTTAAAAATGTCGTCGTATGTTCGTAATTATCAGTTTATGACTACACAATTAAATTACTTTAAATATCCGTTTCTTCATTCCTGAAAGATCATGTTATAAATTACAACCTCTCAATAGCTCGACAACACTTTATGATTTTGCGTGGCCCCAACTTGTCAGCAACAGTAGTAGTGACTGCTATGAACTCTAAAGTACACAAACTCCTAAGAAGGGTTTAAATCCCTTTTTATTCCACTTTAGAAATCACAGTTGCGTTCACTTGACGCTCACAAACTGCGCCAACCCGGCGGTTCAACAAAATAAAAAAGTACAACTAAAAATAAATGACAGGATGAATAAATAACGAAATCACTATCTACGAGGCTCTATAATCGTAACTAACTTAACCGCGTTCTAAGATACAGCTGAGATTCAGCAAACTTACTGATTAAGAAGTTGAAAGATTCAACGAACTGCCGAAATAGGCACACAGGCCGAAACGCGCGTTTCTTAAAATTTCTACTTAGCAAACTTCACCCTCGCGATTCAAGAAGCACACTTACAATCTCGTTTCCCTTCTATTTAAACTCAATTTTCTTCTGCTAAAATTTGAATACTCTGTGCATTCTACTACGATTTACATACTTTGGCATTGGCAATTCTAGGTAAAAGTAAAGGCTTGACAGGAAAGATAGCTTAAACTTAAAATAAATGTTAGTTAAAACAAATATAAACCGTACAACTTCATAAAGTTAAAACTGTAGGTTTACTTCACATCTCTATAATTATTTCAACACTTTCGCCACAAAGGGAGGAGTACTAACTTCTCCCAAGCGAGAACATACTCTGGGATTTTCCCGTTTCGCACAGCACTGCCCTCTGGAGGCATTTTCTCCATTTTGCAGTTCATACATCTGGGAGGTAAGACTGAGCTTCCTCCCGCCCCTTGAAATTGCAAATTTCGATATGAGGATGTCAAAATAAATTTTGCAACTTGAATAACTGTAATTTATAATAATAAAACACATATTACAATAACACTGTATAACAACTTAAATGAAAATAATTATAACATAATGAATACAACACAACTGCAATAATACCATATAGTCTAATTATTGATTTGGCAAGATACAAATGTGCCGATATTTCTTTTAAGAAATTTTCCATCTGTTAACCGTAAATTGACAACTCATACCTTTCCGTCCTTGCCTGGAAATATATCAGCAACTCTAGCAACCAACCGTTTGGTTGGTGGAAGATTGTTATCTTTTATGAGCACAACAGTTCCAACATTAATATTATTTTTATCAAACTTCTAGTTTGATCTTTGATGTAAACTACTAAGATAATCTTTTCGCCACAACTGCCAAATTTTTTTAACATAATTAGATATTTTTTTGCCACTTGGAAAGTCTGTTTTAGGGGATACTTGTTAAATTAGGCTCGGGTATAGAGGTGAATTCTCTGCCGATCAAAATGTGTCCGGGGGACTAAACTCTATAATCATTAGGATCGGAAGACATAGAAGCGTGAATTCAAAAACCCTTCGATCTGTATAACAATTGTTAAAAACTCTTCTATAGTTGAATTAGTATTTCCCACGACACGTTTCAAATGGTATTTGAATGACTTTATGCGAACCTTCCAAGGGCCGCCAAAATTTGGATCCGTGAGAAGGATGAACTTCCAGTCAACACCTTCGGAAGATCCTGCAAGAAATTTATCAGGAGTACTCACCATATTAAAAATTTCTTTAACTCTACTGCTGCACCTACACATGTTTCTGCGTTATCGGTAAAAAGGTTTCTAGATTTGCCTCTTCGAGAAAAAAAACCTTTTAAGACAAGAAATAAAAGTTTGCGTCGTTAGATCTATTACGAATTCCAAATGAATTGCACGATTTTCGAGTCAAATACAACAACATAAACTGTGTTAAATGCACCCTTACGTTGTTTTTGCATTTCACAAGAAAGGGTCCAAAATTCGATTCCTGTATCATTAAATGCAAAACCTTCATTAAGGCACTCTGATGGCTGATTTTCCATTAACTGAGAAGAATTATTTCCCTTAAAACAAACAACGCACTCATGGCAAATTTTTCTGCAAATATTTCTCCCATTTATGAGCCAGTATTTTTCTCTCACAAAATATAATAAAGTTTTCGGTCCCACCTGATAGCATTTTTTATTACTGATTTTATATATCAATAGAATTATACGTAAAAGACACTTTTCAGTTCTAACATAGAACGTTCCTACTTTATATAGTATATCTCAGGACATGCAGAACGCGAGGAGTCAGAGCTAGCAGTTGAAAGGAGCTTTGAAAGAAGAAGGCAACACGCTTTTCTAGAAATTCTTCTCCAAGTAAAAGTGAGATTTCATCTGCAGTATGGCTACGACTAATCATCAGAGCAAATATTAGCGGCGTTTGAAGAATGTTAACCCAGTAGATGTGGTTGTCTCCGAATATGTGAAATAAATAAATATTTAATTTCTGGAATGTGAAAGAACTTCTAAATAGTAGCTACAGCTGCAATAATGGTGTTTGATGTTTTGTAATGCAAACCAAACGATATATCGCCATGGAAACTGATCAAATATATTTTCCATGCAGGTAAATAGGTATATCGAAATCGCAATGCGGACAGAACATCAGTTATGCAGTTTAGGCATCGTTTAAACCTTTACGGGCACGCTCTGTGTGTGTGATTGTGCCAAAGCCTCGAAGACTATCTGCCTAAAGGAAGGGTTGCCTTCGTGGAGGACCTTTTAAGGAAAACTGGCTCGTATACACGTTACACACGGGGAAACACCCGAAAACACCATCTCAGCCAGCCCGTTCGCTTCCGGCACGCTACTCTTTAAAGTTGGAATTTTAACAAAAAATTTGTATGCAGTCTATTTAGGCCTAGGAATGTATGCAGTATAATTTTACAAAGATTGCACAAACCGTTCCCATTTTGTGGGTGCGTCCAAGCGAAGACACTGAGCCTCGCGAGGTGCGATAGGTGAGCATTGCTGTGAAGCAGGTATTCTAGTAAAGTACTTTGTCTATGATTTATCAACAGTAGAATCTGATCTCTATAGCAGTTATATCATAGCCCAGGTTGCATCACGGCATGGCTTGCTACTAACCCCTCCAAAAAAAACCGGGGAAGAAAGGAAACTTTCATTGCTTCGGCAAAGCTGACGCCTCTCCAAACCATTTACACAATTTTAAAATTTATAGAAAAATAATTTAAATACTATAATATTTAATATTAATTATTGGCTAGAGAAAATAATTATTAAATATAAATACAAATAAAAATATACAGAAATGAAAACTATGCCAACTACGCACTGTGAAAGCAACAGAAAAAGAGGATCTGCACTCGCTAAAAACCACATAGCTAAATTAAAACCGGGGTATTCAAAACGAAAAACAGAAAATAATAAAAACAAATATAAATAAATCTGCGCTCTCAGCCTCCCCCGTATTTGAAGCACGAGATCAGATTCTGTGACTCACTCCCACGTGACAGGCGCTACCAGTGCAGTGTGTTCAGTCCGAAAACACCATACACTGGCTTCACTATAAGCAATACTTCAAAGATAAAAATTAAAAGTAATACAGAATAGGCAGATTAGCATACGAACAACAAAATTATATAAAAATATTTTTTCATTGATATTCTTTATATTAAAAATAATCTTAAACAGTTCTTTGAAATATCAGTGTCTTTAAAAACACAGTATTTTTATCTCAACGTTAATGATTTGCTTGTGTGATGCTGCCATCTATTATTCATAAAAGAGATTAAGAGAAACCATTAGTGTAGTTTTCGTGATATTTATCGATTATTTTCAGTGTCTAAAGAGGGAATATTTTTGGTGTGTTCACACCAAACACAGTGCACAGGAAAGGGCTAATTGTTTATGGTTTGCATAGTTTCATGATTAGGTGCTACATTGTGCCGCTGTAATTTGAATTTCATGTCTCCCATTTGCTTGTTTGCTAAAATACGTACAAAATGGGGAAAAAGACTTACCCTCTCCATACTAGTTTAGATAAAGATACGAAATATTCTCCTTATGCAAATTTATCTATTTTCCAAATCTAATATCCCATATGATGTTTCTTTATTTCTTGTAGGCAATAAAAAAGAAACGATTTTCATTCGAAACTTTTCCACAATAACCGCATTTACAAAATACTCAATATATCAACTTAATTTTAAGTAAAAGATATTTAGCAGTACTTACAATGCCTGTTTATATATTTTACATCCCGTTGCATTCCTTCGCCGCATTTTAAACATAATTTTTTATTGAATTATAAGAGTGAAACTACATTCATATAAAAAATATGCTAAGCATTTCGAAAAGCTAAAACCAATCTTTACTGATATGAAAATTTTTATAAGTGAAATCGAGATTCTGACATTAAATCCTTTTGTTATTACAGCCAAAATCTTGACTATATGATTAGATTGTATTATTTTAAGACGAATCTCAAATTCTGCGTATCATATTAACATATTTATATATTTGAGCCTTATTACTGTTTCAATATACAGCTAAATTTTAGGAATTTCTGAAATTATACGCTCCTATATTGAAGTTTAACATCAGATCAGGTTTGTGTATGAACTATGGAATGTCATCAATGTACAGTAGACAGAGATAAATAGGCTTCTTTTTTATAATTAAATTTGAATTCATTTTAAACTTCATAAGAGAGAATATTTTAGTTATTTAACCAATATTAAATAATTTAACATGGATGTTGCTTTAGTAGGCTGCGGTACTAGCTGAAAGCATTTATTAGAGTAGTTTATTTTTACGTTGAAAATATATTTGAAATAAATATTTTTCCTTGCAGATAAGACAGATGAATACACAGAAGAACCTCCACGCAATGAAGGTATATATGTTATTCATAATTATTACAAATAATTATCTAGTTTAGTTAATAATTATCTTCTGTTAGGGTTGAAAAACACTATTTTCTAAAGTGGTAATGTCTTCAGGGACTATTACTGCACTTAGGCGCCATAAAAGAATCGATGTATGCACATTAGTTGAAATTTTTGCTTTTAAGAAGAGACTTTACATAGTTATTTAGAGTCCTAAAAAGTAGGTTTGAAGAAAAATCCGCTAATTTAACTTTGGCTTTACAATGTTAGTTCTCTTCTGATAAAATAAATTTTCCAATAAACCCAGTTGTTTTAAATATGTGCGAGACAATATATCTTAATACAATCGTTAAAAGGTTGCGTTAAAATATTGTTTTCGAAAGGAATATTGAAACTATTGGGAACTGAAGGAATTTTGCCGCGGTTGTCATATACATAATAGAAATAAAACATTTATTTTAGGTAAGTTTATTTATCTTGCAAATGAAACTTTTCTCGTGTTATATTTTAGTTTGTTAGAAGTTCGCTTCAGATTTGGTTCCTTTCTTATAAGATCTGGAAACTTTATCTTTTGAGAAATCTTGATAACGTAACTTAATGTTAGGGAAATTTAATTCTGCAAGCAATAGAACTGTGTGGTACGGATGAAAGACTTATACTTCGCACTGATTGCTAAGCTCTCAAAGAAACTTTTGGATTTCAATGTATGTTTCTAGCACAGCAAAGGAAACAAGTGATTGGGTTACACTAGAAAATAACACAGTTTAATCCCCAAAGAGATTTACCAATTATATCTCCATAAAATTGTGATCGTATGTTCATAAATATCACTTTATGACTACACAATTAAATCAGTTTAAATATTCGTTTCTTCATTCCGTATCAAAGTAGAATCTTTTTGAAACTGAGCATATTTTCGAATACATTCAACTATACAAAATTCGAATATTTAAAAGAATACAGTTTTTCAACCAGCGGTGTTCTGATAGGAATACTGTGTACTTACAAATATTCGAAACCGCTATACTTTTAAGTTAGCAAAGAAAGAATTTTCTTTGCGTTCTGTATACATTCTATTTATTTCTTTTTGCTCGTATACATTCTTCACACTTTGAATGCAAACAATTTCCCTGTAGTATAAATTTCTGCTTTGTAAGTAGAAGGCGCTCAAACCTGGAACAGTTGCTTTTGTTTGCAGGAAGATTAAAAATTTTGTAGGTATGGTACTTGAAAATAGCGATGAAGTAGGAACAGACGAAAAGACGCTGCATTATTTCCGGCTGGTGCTTTGTGAGTGCAGCTAACGTTTCCCCGTTAGTACGAAATAATATTTATTATTCTTATTTTTATTGATCGTCTGCTCTTTTCTTTAATTTTGATTACCTAACTTTAAAATTTCTGCGTTAAATTTAAATAAGATCTCGAATGATATAATACTTGTTATTTACACAAAGTAGAATTAAAAGTGAATTTTTCTTTCACAAGTGAATACAATATTCTTTTCTTATAAAGATAGCTCTTTTAGAGCTCCATCAAAATATATCATACTAAAACACATTATGTATTGCGTGTATCAGATTAAAATACGATAAATAATTATGTTTTGTTGTTATCATATTAGCGATAAATATTGTAAATATACAGAATTTACAGCTATAATTTTCTACAATACCTCAAGTAAATAAAAACGTTACAGTTACTTATTATAACTTCATGTAATACTTGATTACTTGACCGAAATATGTGTTCTAGAAAATATTAGATTTCGTTCGAATAAACAAGATTATGTAATTTCGGCAAAACGTCTTGCTTAAAAAATTAAATAAGGATAGAATGTCTACAGTTTTACATTTGAAATAGGTAGTTCTCTTCGAAATATTATTTTTGTTTCATGAATTGATGAAAATTAATCCGTCCTTAAACAAAATGTTCAATAAAACACAGAGCATAAAAATACTTTGCGAAAATCTTTCCAGGAAAGGAATAAGCCAGCGAGCATATCTCTAGTGCTCACTAAAAGCTATTGCACGATCTAAAACTCTTCCCTTTGCAACCCATTCCGGAGAATTTACTTTCTCTTTCTCTTACCTGCGTAAATTGAACTCGCCCAGCTAACAAAAGCAGTCGTTCCGGGATTGACGGTATAGTTTTGTAAGTGGATATTTTCGAATTAATACCCAAATGAAGAAACAGGATACGTTCTACACTCTACTGTAAGTAACCTAAAAATGGCAGTTTCTTTATGCAGGTTTATTTCTTGTGAATGTATAAATTTCGCGTGATATTTTGGGTGCGGGTTGCATTCTTGAAAGAGAAATCGAATTTTTAGTTAAATAATTCGCGGAAAAATCATTTGCTCTGGATATATTTTCTTTTAATAAATACTGATTATATATATCAATGGAATTACACGTAAAAGACATTTTTCAGATCTAACAGAGTGCGTTGCTATTTTATATAGTATATGTCAGGGCATGCAGAACGCGAGGAGTGAGAGTTAGCAGTAGAAAGGAACTTTAGAAGAAGACAACATGCTTTTCTAGAAATTCTTCTCCAAGTAAAAGTGAGATTTCGTCTGCAGTATGGCTACGACTAGTCATCAGAACCAATATGGACGTCTTAGAAACATTTCAAAACTGCAGGTTTGAAGAATGTTATGTAGGTAGATGTGGTTGTCTCCCGAAGGTGTGTAATAGATAAAGATTTAATTTCTCGAATTTGAAAGACCTTCTAAATGGTATCTGCACCTGCTACAATGCTGGTTGGCGGTCTATAATGCAAAGCCAACGACATATTGCCATGCAAACTGATGAAATATAATTTCCATTCAGGTGAATAGGTATCGAAATCGCAATGCGGACAGAACATCAGTTATGCAGTGTAGGCATCACATAAACCCTTTCGGGCACGGTAATCTTCAAAATTGGAATTTTACTAAAAAAAAACTTGTAGACAGTCTATTTAGGCTAGGAAAGTGTGCAGGTATAATTTTACAAAGATTGCACATAACGTTTCCATTTTCCGGATTTGTCCGAAGCGAACCAACTCGCAAGATCTGCGATAGGTGAGCATTGCAGTGAAGCACGTATTACAGTAATAAACTTTATCTATGATTTAAAAACAGTAGAATCTGATCTTTACAGTAGTTTTAGCATAACCCAGGGTGCACCACGGGGTGGCCTGCTACTAAACACCCCCCAAAAAACCTGGGCAAAAAAGATAACTCCCATTGTTTCGGCAATGATGAGGCCTCTCGAAACCATTTACACAATTTTAAAATTTACATAGAAAATAATTTAAATACTATAACATTTATAATTAATTATTGACTAGAAAAAAATTATTAAATATATATACAAATAAAAATATACAGAAATCAAAACTAAGCAAACTACGCGCTGTGAAAGCAACAGAAAAAAGGATCTGCTACCAAATAGGTAAATGAAAACCGGGGTCTTCAAAACCAAAAACAGAAAAGAATAAAAACAAATATTAATAAATCTGCGCTCTCAGCCTACCCCGTGTTTGAAGCACGAGATCAGATTCTGTGACTCACTTCCATGTGACAGGCGCTACCGGTACAGTGTGTTCAGTCCGAACACACCATACACTGAAGGCTTCATTATAAGCAATATTTCAAAGATAAAAATTAAAATTAATATAGAATAGGCAAATTAGCATACGAATAACAAAATTATATAAATATTTTTTCATTGATATTCATTATATTTAAAAAAATCTGAAACGTTTCTCTGAAAAATTAATGTCTTTTAAAAACAGAATATATCTCAACTTTAATGATTTGCTTGTGTGATGCTGCCATCTATTATTCATAAAAGAGATTAAAAGTATTCACTAGTGTAGTTTTCGTGATATTTATCGATTATTTTCAAAGTCTAAAGAGAGAATAATTTTGGTGTGTTCACACCGAACACACTGCGCAGGAAAGGTTAACTGTTTACGGTTTGTGTAATTTCATTATTTTAGGTTCTACATTGTGCTGCTGTAGTTTGAATTTCATGTCTCTCAATTGCTTGTTTGCTGAAATACGGACAAAATCGGAAAAATGACTCACCCTCTGTATACTAGTTTAGATAAAAATAAGAAATATTCTTAAGCAAATTTATCTGTTTTCTAAATCTAAGATTCCATATGATGTTTCTTTATTTCTGGTATGCAATAAAAAAGGAAATGATTTTCATTTGAAACGTTTCGACAAAAATAGCATTTACAAAATGCTGAATCTATCAACATAATTTTAAGTAAAATATATTTAATAATACTTACAATGCATGTATATATATTTTGCTACCCGCTGCATTCTTTTGCCGCATTTTTAACATATTTTGTTTTGAATTATAAGAATGAAACTGCATTCCTGTTAAACATATGTTAAGCAATTCGAAACTCTGAAACCAATTTTTACTGATATGGAAATTTTTATAAGTGAAAACATCGAAATTCTTACATTAAATCCTTTTGCTATTACAGCCAAAATCCTGACTGTGTTATTAGATTATATTATTTTAAGACGAATCTCGAAGTCTGCGTATCATATTAACATATTTATGTATTTGAGATCTATTACTGTTTAAATATACTTGTAAACTTTAGGAATTTCTGAAATTATATGCTCCTATATCCAAGTTTAAAATCAGATCAAGTTTGTGAATGAAATATGGAATATGATTAACGTACAGCAGACAGAGTAAAATATTCTTCTTTTTTATAATTTGATTTGAATTCCTTTTAACCTTCATAAGGAAGGAAATTTTAGTTATTTAACTAATATTAATTAATTTAACATAGATGTTGCTTTAGGCTGCTCTACTGGCTGAAAGCATTCATTAGCTTAGTTTATTTTTGCTTTGAAAATACTTTTGAAATAAATATTTTTGCACGCAGGTAAAACCGATGAATCCACAGAAGAACCTACATGCGGTGAAGGTATTTATGGTTTTCATAATTATTAAATATAATTATCTATTTTAGCTAATATTTATCTTCTGATAGGATTAAAAAACACTATTTTCTAAAGTGGTAATGGCTTCAGGGACTATTACTACATTTAGACGCCATATAAGAATCGATGTGTATACATTAGTTTAAATTTTTCTTTTACGAAGAGACTTTACATAGTTATTTAGAGTACTAAGAAGTAGGTTCGAAGGAAAATCCGCTAATTTAATTTTGGCTTCACAATGTTAGCTCTCTTCTGATAAAATAAATTTTCCAATGAACCCAGTTGTTTTAAATATGCTCGAGACAACAGGTCTTAATACAATCGTTAGTAGGCAGTGTTAAAGAATTGTTTTCCAAAGAATTATTGGAACTATTCGGAATTGAAGGTATTTTGCCGCGGTTGTTATATACATAATAGATATAAAAAAATTTATTTATCTTGTAAATGAAATTTTTGTGCTATTAATTTTTATTTGTAAGAATTTCGCTTCCGATTTCGCTAACATTTTTATGTGCTCTGAAAAATTTATCTTTTGAGAAATGTTGATAACGTGAATATTATGTTATGTTAGGGAAATTTAATTCTGCAAGAAACAGATCTGTGTGGTTCCGATGCAAAACTTATAGTTCCCGCTGATTGCATAAGCTCTCGAAGAAAATGTTTGATATCAATGTATGTTTCTAGCACAGCAAAGGAGACAAGTATTAGGTTATGCTAGAAAATAAGACAGTAGAAACCCTAAACAGGTTTACCAATTAAATCGCCATAAAAGTGTCGTCGTATGTTCGCAATAATTAGATTACGACTAATCATTTAAATCACTTTAAATATCCGTTTCTTCATTCCGTTTCAAAGTAGAATCTTAATTGGAACCGAGCATATTTTCGAATACATTCATGTATATCAGATTCAAATACTTAAAAGTTTACAGTATTCCAACTAGACTTCGGACATCTTACCTGGATAACTGGAAGAGATGCTTCTTAGAAAATCGAAAATGTTACCTCAAGAACGGTGATATGATTTGGTAGTCAGTATCGAAAGACGGTGCAAACAATTCATTGCAGTTTTAAAGGAAGCATAACCCTAACAAAGGATTTTTGGTTTATCGTTCACTCAGGAAATATGTCTGTGTGTGTGTGTGTGAGTATGGCAAAGCCTCGAAAGCTATCTACCTAAGAGGAGGGATGCCTTCGTGGAGGACTTTCTAAGGGAAACTTGCTCGTATACACGTTACACATGAGGAAAACCACGAAAACGCCCATGCAGCCAGCCCGTTCGCGGAATTCCAACCTCGGACCGAACTACCAGTGTTCAGCGACTTTACCGCTCGGCCGCTGGTGGGCCCAGGAAATATGTCAATAAAGTATTTTTCTATTCGTTCTGCAAAACAGAGGTCGTATTAATTTTTTTCGTTTGTGTAGTTTCATCATTTTAGATGCTACATTGAATGGCTGCAATGCGAATTTCATGTCTCTCATTTGCGTGTTTGCTGAAACACAACCAAAATGGGAAATATGGCTTAAACTCTAGTGTACATATGGATAAAAATATTTTTCAGATTTATGTGTTTTATAAATCTAATATTCTATATGATGTTTCTTTATTTCTGGTATGCAATAAAAAGGAAGCGATTTTCGTTTAAAGCTTTTCTCCAAAAACCGCATTTAAGAAATGCTGAATATGTCAGGTGACAGGTGACAGCAGGACAGGGCACCCGGACGGCTTTCTATGACTACTTGGGTATTACCCTGGCCCTGCAACCATCTTGAGTCTTCACAGTTGTAAGATGCTTTTATATTTATTGCAGGTGCCCTATTCCGGCCTGCAGAGGTCTATGCCCATTTTTTCTAGTTTGGCCATTATGCATTTAAGCTTTTGCCGCGTGCCTCGATGTTTTATGAGAAGGCGTTTGAAAGGCAGAACATTGGCAGTTGGGAATTTTATGTGCCATTCTGCTGTTAAGGGGCACTCCGTGACATAATGGTCTGGTGAGCCCACGTTGCCACAAACACACATATCAGTTGTTGCTAGACCCCTTTCTGCAAAGTACGTCGGAAAGGGGCCGTGGCCTGTTATATATCGCGTGAGGTAGGGCGATGAGATGAGCCAGTCCACCTCTACCTTGGGCAGGAACTCATATGCTCTGCGGCCTTGCGGGATTTGGTCCCATTCATTCTGCCAGTTTCCAATGGCGGACTCCTCTATTTGCCTCTTTAGGCATGACCGGGGCAGGGGCACCTGAATCTGCTCCGTTTCCTCATTTTGGGCAGCCTTCTTGGCAAGAGCGTCTGCTGCTGCTCATTTCCCTGGATTCCGGCGTGCGCCTTCACCCAGGAAATTTGGATTCTCATTGACTTTTCTTGTAGACGGAGGACTTCTTGCAGGTGCGAGATTAGTGCGGAGCGCTGGAGAGGGTTGTTGATAGCATAAATGCTTGACAGGCTGTCAGTAAATATCGTAGCTCGACTCTGCCGTGTGTCAATTGCCCATTTCACTGCCTTTGTGAGGGCAACTACTTCCGCTTGGAACACTGAGTTCTGTGCTCCCAGACGGCCCTTCCATTCCTTTGCTATGTTTCCATTTATATAGGCTATATAGGCACTGCCTACAGCGTTATCAATTTTTGACCCGTCTGTATAAAGCACGGCCCCTGGTCCGTCTAAGCGCGGGGTTAACGCTGGTGAGTGGAAAGTCCTTATGCCCAGTCCATATTCCGACGGATGTGTGCTTAGTTTTGACCTGCGTGTTTCGTAGACTTCTGGCAGATAGCATGTATCCCCATATGTGCATGGCTGTTGGAGTTGCGTCACCTTTGCAATTGAGGCTTCTTGCTGCGCTTTGATTGGGAGCGGCATAAGCCCTGCTAATACCGAAGCGGCCGCAGTCGACGTTGTCCTGTAGGTCTTCGTTATGGCCAGGACAAATGGTCGCTGTGCACTACTTAGCAATTTTGCCTTTCTGACTGTCATCGGGGCTACCCAGATGGCTGCTCCATAGGTTAGGACCCTCTCCGCGACAGTGGAGTAAAGTATCTTGTAGATATTGGGCCGAAGGCCCCAGTGCGGGCCTTGCATTTTTTGCAGATTGTTTGCGATTCGGCGAGCCTTTTCTCTTTGGGCTTTAAGGTGAAGCAGCCAGGTGAACTTTTCATCCAATATAATACCCATGAGTTTTAGTTCTCTGACCCTTTTGATGGTCTTCCCATTAAGCTGGATGGTTGGGTTTCTTATTAAAGTTACTGATAAGCTGGATGGTTGATAAGCTGGATGATTAAGCTGGATGGTTGGGTTTCTTATTAAAGTTTCTTATTAAAGTGCTGAATATGTCAACAGAATTTCAAGCAAATCATATCTAGCAGTACTTACAATGCACGTTTATAAGTTTTGCCACCCGCTGCATTCCTTTAAACATTGGCGCATTTTTAAACATCTTTTTCAATGAAGTATAAAAATAAAACTACATTAATGTTAAATTTATGTTAAACAATTCGAAATGCTAAAACCACTCCTTACTGATATGGAAGTTTAAATAAGTGAAAACATGGAGATTCTGACATGAATTCCTTTTCTTATTACAGCCAAAATCCTGAACGTGTTATTAGATTATATTACAGTAAAAGGTACGAAATCCGGACGTCCATTATCCGAAATGATCTAAAATCCGGACCTCAAAGGCAAAAATTTTTTTATTAATGCTTTACGCAAGCGCATTTGATTTTTTCTTCCATAATAAATCATGTGGAAATTTTCACTTAAAAATTCCGATTCTTAATTTCACTTAGGCACTAAATAAAATACCTCATTATGGAAAAACACTCATGCAAGCATAACTTTGTGAGATTAATAATTTGTCTCCGTAGCTGAATGATTACTTGGCATACACCTCAAACCAAAAAAGTTCACCTATTTTATATCCCTGAAGCCGACCTGCCGAGGCATTATTTATTATATTTTGCTTTCATCACCGCATGTTTATCAATACATGACAGCTTCAGTAATAACTCATGCTGTGATGTCTAAACTTTTTTATATTAGTAATTGAATAACAAGTGTATGGCAACCTTTTATGCTAACATTACGCTTGGCGAGGATTATAAATTTTTAAATGCTCTAACAAATGTTCACAAGGAAACATTCAACAAAAATTTCTTTTCGTATGCAAAAATTTAATTTTGTTAATAAAACTCACAGGCCAACCGACTACATTTAGTGCTATTTTAATTCAGAATAATTGATATGTTATTCACCATAAATACAGAATCGGCGGCAGAATATTTCGGCATCGGAAGGCGGAATTTTGAGAATTCGAATGTTTGTTATTTGGGTGAGCACCGATCGGCAAAAGTAGGCGATGTGAAGTATATATAAATTAGGGAAAGCACTGGTATCCAAAGTTTAAGCACGTTAAAAATTTAGAACTTAGGAAAGCGCTTTGTAGCAGAATTTAGGACTCGTAGACACTGCACCAGGAGGTATCGAGCGCCGTCCCTAGATAAAGCCTTAAGTATGCGTGAGAGCTTTTTTATTCAGAACTCGGATTAGTTTAAATCATGTGCAAGAAATAAACATAGGTATAGTAAATAACTAAGCTAATGCAATTCAGGCTTAATTCAGTACGCATTGGAAGCAAGACAATATTTAGCAAAACAACTTCGATTTCGTCGCCGATCTCGTGATGTATAACGGACGCTATTACGTTAGTCTAAAATTATCTTTACTCATTCTAAGGTATTTCAATTAATGTAGCAGAATGCGCTGTTCCCTGATCTTCTAATTTGATCCAGCTTATTATTTTTTGCAGACTCTTATTATTACGGCAATTTATAAAAAACTAAGCTTGAACTTTCGATTATGTCGAAAAGAGATTCCGATTCTGGAATTGCCAAAAGATCTACAAAGCGAAACCATGTTTCGATACCCATTAAACAAAAAGTAGAATTGCTGCAAAAAATCGATAAAGGTATATCCGTTACAAAATTATGCGAGGAGTGTGGTATTGGGAAGTCCAACTGTACGACACAAGAAAAAAGAAAAAGTCACTTTTTCAATTTTTTATGGAAGCATCTTAAACAAATTACATTACAAGAAATATTTAATAAAGTAAATAAATAAATAGTAAGTTTTCTTTTGTAAATTATGATACCCTTTAGATTATAACTGTTCATTACTTCATAAACTCGATTTCATATTTTTCATTGTATAATTTCTGCATGCGATCTTTCCAGATTTAAATTGATGATCTATTATCTGGAAAAATCCCAAACCCAGGATCGCCGAAGTCCCGACCATTCCAAATTTCGGAGATTGTACTGTGTTAGAAGACGAATCACAAATTCTGCGTATTATATTAATATATTTAAGGATTTGTCTCTATTTACACTTTCAAACTACTATACATTTTAGGAATTTCTGAAATTACCTGGTTCTATAGGGAAGTTTAAAATCAGATCAAATTTGAAAACGAACCATGGAATATGATAAATATACAGTAGACAGAGTTAAATAGCCTTCTTTTTTATAATTTAAATTGAATTCCCTTTAGCATTGATAAGGGAGAAAATATTAGTTATTTAACGCCAAGGAGTTGTATTAGTCTGCTGTACTCACTGAAAGCTTTTCTTAGGGTAGTTTTTTTATGTTGAAAATACATTCGAAATAAATATTTTTCCACGCAGGTAAGCCAGATGAATCCACAGAAGAACCTCCATGGGATGAACGTATTTATTTTATTCATAATTTTTACAAATAATTATCTATTTTAAATTTTAGGATAGGAATGAAAACATCTGGTACTTTCTAAAGAGGTAATGACATCCGGAACTTTTATTGCATTTACGTGCCATATATGAATCGATGTATATAAATTATTTTACATATTTAGCTTTTAAGAAGACATATTAGATACATACATATTAAGACGCCTAAAAGTATGCGCTCGTCTATCTAGGGCTTTGCAATGTTAGTACTCATCTAAGAAAATAATTTTTCCAATGAAACAAGTTGTTTTTAATATGCAAGTGACAACAAGGTCTTATTACATTTGTTAGAAAGCAGTTTTAAAGAATTGTTTTTTTTAGGTCTTAAGTCTTCGCTTATTCAATAGGTATACGACCCTGAAGGCTTTACCTATCTATAACTGTCCTTAGTGGGAATCCTAAAAGTGAAAAAAATTCCAAATATTGGAATAAACCTGTATACTTGAAGTGTTGAATGACATCCAATGTGGCAGTATGTAACAGTGGCATAACTTGGGCAAAATAGCGATTTAACATCTGAAGCATAACTTTCACATCGTAAAAGAAATTTAACACATCTGTAGCATAAAAACTTTGGAATAACTTTTCTCCTCGTAGGTATTACTGCTGAATGTCCTCCTTCCTCCGTGTATTGGAGCAACAGAATAGCGTGGGCATAATAGTTGAGGCATATAACACTAGTGGGTGGAGCATAGTTGCACTGACCAAACGTCGAAATTTTATACACATAATACAAATCAAAGTCCTGCCTCCGGGGGCGCAAAGTCCATATCGCTTTGCAATAATTAAGTAAAGATAAATAAAAGTAAACAATGAAAAGTAGAATAAACATTAAATTCACTATGTACATCGATCACCATAACTCGTTATGGTGTATCGTTCTTGGTCTTTTGCAGCGTTGAATGACTGTACAGTCATACTCTCCTATGCTACGTAAAGCTTCATTTTCGTGATTATCATATTTGCTGTAGAAATTATGTGAGGCAATTAAGATCTCGCTATCTAATGGTTTGATTTTCATTCCAAGATGTATTGCAGTCTTTCTTACAAACCACGGTGAGTCTGTGATAGTTATAAAAAATTTATTTTGCAATCTTTGCAAAATCTGACGATTTGATCTGGCTGTAGCGGAAAGAATTGGTTTTCCAAATAATGTTTGAAACTACTGTGAATTGAAAGTATTTTGTGGTGTTTAGCAAATATATAATAGAAATGTAAAATTTATTTTAGATAAGATTATGTATCTTGCAAGTGAAATGTTGCTCGTGTTAAATTTTTGTTTGTAAGAAGTTCGTTTCCGATTACGCCAAATTTGTTAATGTGCTTTGGATATTAAATCTTTTGAGAAATTATGATAACGTAAATATTACTTAATGTTAGGGTAATATAACTCTGTTAGTAATAGAGCTGTGTGGTACAAATGCAAGACTTCTACTTCGCGCTGCTTGCACAAGCTTTCGAAGAAAAGTTTGATATCAATATATTTTTCTAGCACAGCAGAGAAGACAAGTGATTAGGTTGTACTAGAAAATGAGACATCGAAAACCCCAAAGAGATTTACCAATTATAGCTCCATAAATATGTCTTCGTGTGTTGGTAGTTATCAGATTAAGATTCTAAAATTAAATAAATTTAAATATCCGTTTCTTCATTCCGTATCAAAGTAGAATCTTATTTGAAAGTGAGCATATTTTCGAATACACACAAGTATACCAGATTCCAGCATTTTAAAGTAAACAGTATTCCAACCAGCGGCGTTTTGATAGGAATACTGTGCACTTATAAATATTCAAAACTGTTATACTTTTAAGTTAGCAAAGGAAGTGTTTAGTTTGCGTTCTGTATACTTTCTATTTATTTCTTTTTGCTGCTATACTTTCTTCATCTTTTAAATGCAACCAATTTCCCTGTTATACAAATTTCCTGTTTGTAAGCGGATATTTTCGAATTAACACCAAAATGAAGATTTTGTGGAATGACCAAACACCAAAATGAACATTTCGTGGAAACCTCATTTGCTCTGGATATTTTTTGTTTCAAGAAATGCTAATTATATATATCAATTGAATAACACAAAAAAGAAATTTTTCAGTTCTAACAGCGCACGTTGCTATTTTCTCTACATATAATAAAAGAAAGAGTCTGTATGTGTGCGTGTCTTTCTTTCGCGCTTCGCTGAACACTGGTAGTTCGGTCCGAGGTTCGAATCCCGCGAACGGGCTGGCTGCATGGGCGTTTTCGTGGTTTTCCCCATGTGTAACGTGTATACGAGCCAGTTTCCCTTAGAAAGTCCTTCACGAAAGGCATCCCTCCCCTTAGGCAGATAGCCCTCGTGTGCTTTGCCATAATTAAATACACCAACACCATCTTTCGCGCTGCGCGTAAGTTAATAGACCCACGTTACGAAATTTGTACATAGGTACATTTAGACAAGAGCCAGTGCACCCCGAAGCGATTTTTTCGAAATTCGAATTAGAACCTTTTTCATTTTATATTTTGTGACGAAATCGCGTCATTTTGAGACATAATGGACTATAAGAAAGCGAGATTTTACTCTACACACTCCATTTTACCATCGTCATGAAACGTAGGCACTGAGCTATTTTACAAACTTAAATTTTGTGTTTTAATAAATCGATTAAATACGAATTTATTTGACAAAGCTTAATACCTTCTCAACGGGATTTTTTCTAAAAAAGTTTATTTTTAAAAATGTACAGTTTATTCTTCTTTGACTTTTGGACACGTTAAAATTTCATCCTTGCGACTGCTTTTGCAAAACGAATTTTGGAAAAATGATAGTATTTGTATTTTTAAATTTTTTTTTGAAATGAAGCTTCCGTGTACACTTCTCAAATCTCACATTTTTAAACACGTGATTTTGGCAACAATTTTCCTGTCTTATTGTTGCTGATATATTTTTGATGAAAACGCATCATTTTGAATAGTTTCATTCTTTTAGAAATGTGGGTTTGGGAACAATTTTTTCATCGTATTTCTTACGTCACTGTTTTATTTAAGAGATTGGCATCTTTCATTGTCATTTTTTATATTTATAATACATTTTTATTGATTTTTTTTTTTTGATAAAGTTGTTTTGCAGAGTAAAATTCTGCGCGGAATTTTTTATTTTTGAGTTTCTTTCATGTTATTTTTTGCTTATTTCACTATTTGTAAGATATTGAAAAGGTTTGCATGATTTGTTTTCCTTCAACGGAAAGTTGGTTAATTTTTTATTAGGATAATTAATATTTGTATTAAGGAATATACTTTATTTCATTGCAATGTTTTTCTCTTTAAAATATAAGATAAAATATCATTAATTGTACTTTGCTTTTCAGAATTTTTTGTTTTTTGTATTCTTTTATGTTATTTATTTCTCATTTCACTGTCTTTAAGATATTGAAAAGTTTTGAGTGATTTTTTTTAGGAAACAAAGTTCTTAACCTCCTTTATGACATTTGAGTTCTTAAGATTTTGCAAAGGGAATTTGGTTAATTTATTTATTAGGATAATTAATATTTGTATTAAGGGACATTGCTTATTTCATTGTAATTTTGTTATACGTAATAACTTTTTTTTATGAAGTTGTTCTGCAGAGTATAACTCTACGCAGGTTTTAAAGTTAACGTTTGGTGTTCCCTTCAGCCATTTTCCAGGTACATTTAAAATCCAAACGAAGGCTGGCAGCGAAGCTGCTATTTATAAAATTTTACAGTTTTCTTAGGGATCACGACAACGAAATTTGGCACAAAATATATTGGTCAGTTTTACAAAACTGTTAATTTTGAAAACTGCAAATATATTTATTTAACCCAAGAACATAAGAGAGCTTTAACGAAGCCTTAACAATCATGACAGAAAAATGAGACAGAATTCTATCTGATTAAAATGTTCATTCATATTATAAACCGTATAATATTAATCAGCATTTTAATCAGATAGATGAAAATAGTAGATAGCATATGAGAGTTGAGAGCAGGGTTCGGACATCCGGGGGCTTTCATCGACTATTCGGGTATCGTCCGGATCCCGCAACTGTCCAGAGAAACAATATTGCCAAACAGGGTCTGATGTAGGAAGACAGACGTACTGCGGATTCTTACAATACCAATGCTGAATTAAGACAGTAGCTAGACATCGTTGTACATTATACATTAATAGTGCACTCGATATATTAATACATACAATAATAAAAGTTCCTAAACTCTAAAAACATATTGCAATACCAGTGCACATTATGTAAGTTACGTTATAACTACATACTTCGTTATACATTATACATTAATAATGCATGCATACATACGTTACGTTAATACATACATAACATAAAAAAGTGCATTCCTTTTTTCGAATCCATTGAGCGTTAAACTTATGCATTAACATTACATTAACTGGTATAAAATGTACGCATGTGTGAGTTAGGTATCCTATGGCCAAATGGGACCCTGTTCTGCACTGCAGAATTTAGTGCCTAGCGCTTCGGGTTTTAACATCATTATGCGTATTTTCTCCTGTATTGAGGGTTGCTTGACCATAAATCTTTTGTAGGGGACTATATTTGTAGTTGACAAAGCCTGTCGGAAGTATTATGTAAGTGGGCATGATGTCATATAATAATCAGAACATTGATAGCTTTGGCACAGGAAATAAAAAAACGAAGCAAAGCATATACGCAAAGAGAAAGCGCCTCGATAAGGGTGACTTGCGCATGCGTCAGAAGAAACCAAGCTCTAAGCCAGGGGTTCTCGCTGATGTTACGCACACCACTGGTGGTACGCAAGAGAAAAATAGATGGTATGCAAAAAAAGAAAAGTATTTTCAACTATTAAATTCAAAAATTAAAACCCCAACATCCTGATTGAGTTTTTTTTCCTCTAACAATCATAAATTTATGCGATCCGAGCTTTCTTCAAGTGTGGTGGTGGTAATGGTACTTTGTAGTGGTGGTACTAAAGGTTTTCAATTTTTGCTTAGATGATACGCGTTAGTCAAAAGGTTGAGAACCGCTGCGTCTAAGCTAAACAGCGGATATTAAAATCCAACGAATCA